GCTTTTTAAAAATTAGTTTCAATTAGATTTAATTGATTTTATTGATAGACTAGCCATAATAAAGTAATTATCAAATATAAAAAAATCATAGCTTTAAAAAAAAGAATTGTTTCCTTCTTCAGTGGAGATCAACGATTCCGAACAGAACAAAAACATTAATTATATCATTTTCATGTTATTTTTGTTTAAACGTGTACATAGCAGGTGCCTTAATTCATATTTGCCAGTGAGCTAATTACTTTAATGAACATTTAAAAGGAATATGAAGTTGTTTTGTCAATTTAAAAATGAATTTTCTTAAAACGTCTAATTTAAGCATTACTAAATATTATTTAAGCTATAGAATATTTTGGGAAGGTTAAAGATTCTATAAAGTTAAACACATTTGAAAACAGATCAGCCAATTTCCCGCTCGGATGATCTTCTCACGGGAGAGAAACGCATTAAAACAATAACATTTCCGACCAAGTAATGGCTGGCGGAACAATATAGTATTATTTCCGGCATGTCTCGCACCGAACCATCTCTTGTAAACTCATTGTTTTATACAGCTTTCCATGTTTTTTGTGTGTCTTTGAGACTGTTTTAATGAAACAATCAAAGGCTTTACTGATCATAAAATTACGCGATGAAAACAATCAGCGACCGCGCTCTACCATACAAAGATCATGGTTTTGAAAGATCGATACTTGCTAAGGACAAAGAATGGTGTTCGATCATTGAAAGCGTCTCTAAGTGACGGATTCATCATCGATATACGAGGGCGAACTGATGGTGTGTCTATTTCTCCATACCTTGTCTATCTTCTTGATAGAGTCTGATTCAAAACTGAAATATTTGGAGAGCACTTGAGCTTCGCTTCGACAACAAATCCACGATTTGTCCGTTTGTTTGAGAGAATAAATGGGAACGCGAGATTTCTGGTAAAGAATATTGATCGAGATAAAACGGCCGCGAGTTAATGCTTTAATTACCAATTGCCGTATGTCGCGTCTTCACTGTAACAAATCGACCAGGTAAAAACAAGCCGAAGCCGCTTTTTATCCACTCTTCTTTTGAGACAAACCATTCGAATAAGTGCGCTTTACAATACATGACACGCGGCCTTTAAACAACGTCCGCATTGCGTTCTCACGCGCAATGACATTGGTGTGATGTAAAACATGGAACACTTTTGTCATCAAGCATAATACGAACCACGGATGAAAATATCTCGCAATAAAGCCAGCATATGGCTCTCTTTGCTCTCTGGGCAAAGCAAATGAACAAAGACTAAACAGGGCATATTACGGAAACTGTATGATAAATAGCTCAACGGCAAAAAGTAAACAAACGCCATCAGTCCCGCAGTGAAGGTATATATGACCATTGAGTGGCTAATCAGCTCATTTTGCCACAGTCCTCCTACGCCCTTGATGTCAAGATTGCACTCTTGGCCCTGCTTGCCGCTAAATTACTGCTGAAAGCCGCGTTCGTTTAAAGGTAAGTTTAGTTTATTTTAATTAAGTGTCCACTGAGCGTTGGCTACTTGACCAAAAGAGGATCTCTCAACATGTCGCGAGCATTTGTAAGCGGAGAACACTCGAATTGCCACTGACAACGACGAAGAGATCTCTTACCATACTCCCGACTGTGTAATATTGAATAACATCACTTTGAAAAGGGCATTCAACTGCGAAACAGCATTTGTATATACAGCTGAAGTTTGACTAAACATACCGTTTAAAGGAAGTCCCATCTTCAAATAAATCTTTCCTATCTCGATATAATTGTATATTAAGAATACATTATACTTCATATTAGGGTGAATATGTACATTAAGTATTTAGTAAAAAACCTATTCTGGAATTGGATTTTTTTCAATGGTATTCCCCCAGGGCATTATAAACAAGGGTTATATATTAAGATCGTTGGGAAAAATGAGCCTTTTGTGTAAATATACCCTAATCCCTAATAAAGGGTCTTTGAAACGTTGTCAAAAATATACATTATTATTCCAGCATCCTGTTTCAGGACGTAAACCCGGTAAATATGTGTGGGAAATAGGGTTACAATTTCAACACTTCTTTCCAAACTCGCATATAGTTGATACACTGTTGGTTATTATTAATGTACCTACGAATCTCAAAAACGATTTCAGTGTACAAACAAAACTAAACCAAAAAGTGATTATTTTTTAGGGGTAAACAAATCTGAGGTTAGTAGGGTAAGGCAGTACTGCTCGATCACCACAAAACCCCGTCACGGGCAAAGAAGAGATTGAATTACGTGTAAGTAAAAAAATAACCTATACTAAAATGCTTTGGTTACGTCTTATTTAAAGCATCAAAATCCTTTCCATAATCGTAATAAATGATAAGAAGATTGGGTTCTGATTTGTCGACATGTCAAAACTCGTCTTGCCAAATCATAAGGTCACATTCATCAATGTAAATCACGACATCACATTCATCAATGTAAATCACGACGTCACATTCATCAATGTAAATCACGACGTCACATTCATCAATGTAAATCACGACGTCACATTAATCAATGTTAAGCACAAGGTCACATTCATCAATGTAAATCACGACGTCAAATTCATCAATGTAAATCACAAGGTCACATTCATCAATGTTAAGCACAAGGTCACATTCGTCAATGTAAATCACGACGTCACATTCATCAATGTAAATCACAAGGTCACATTCATCAATGTTAAGCACAAGGTCACATTCATCAATGTAAATCACGACGTCACATTCATCAATGTAAATCACGACGTCACATTCATCAATGTAAATCAAAAGGTCACATTCATCAATGTAAATCACGACGCCACATTCATCAATGTAAATCACGACGTCACATTCATCAATGTAAATCACGACGTCACATTCATCAATGTAAATCTCGACGTCACATTCATCAATGTAAATCACAAGGTCACATTTATCAATGTTAAGCACAAGGTCACATTCATCAATGTAAATCACGACGTCACATTCATCAATGTAAATCACGACGTCACATTCATCAATGTAAATCTCGACGTCACAGTCATCAATGTAAATCACAAGGTTACATACATAAATGTAAACCACGACGTCACATTCATCAATGTAAATCTAGATCTCACAGTCATCAATGTAAATCAAAAGGTTACATACATAAATGTAAATCACAATTCTCCATTCATCAATGTGTTTGTGTCCCAGCTATATGTTACAGAAATAGTGAGTGGGTGAGTTGGGGTTTTAGCTGATTTAAGCAATATTCAAGCCAAATCGCGGCGGAGGGACATCAGAAATGGCAACGCACATGACATCCATTTGGGGGAATGTACCCGTGATTCGTGACGATTGCATTAACCAGTGGGCTACCCCGCCGTCCTGTCATTAAACTCAGATGGAAAGCACACGTCGCCCACTAATAATACTAAATGAGTGAGTGACTGTGGTCTTACCCCGAAATCAGTAACTATTTAGAAAATATTAAGAAAATACAGAAAATGAAGCTATATTTAAGGCAGTACAACATTATATATGTACAACTAAAGGATTTGTGTAAAGAACGGTTCATTCAACAATACATCTCTCCTCTTCAAAATCTCTCTCTCTCTCTCTCTCTCTCTCTCTCTCTCTCTCTCTCTCTCTCTCTCTCTCTCTCTCTCTCTCTCTCTCTCTCTTTAAATTTTGGTCTCCATTGCCGAACCTGATCTCACACCATAAACCTATGACCGTCGGTTCGCAATCCGGTTCGCCCCTTTATGTTTCTAGGTTTGTCAGCACCATATCCGTGCTCGTGAGTTTCACGAGACGGTAAACGTCTGAGACGCATCACACCGGGCTTCCCTCCCACATAAAATAAAGATGGCACGCCGTGATTAAACTGTATACCTGTTCAAATCGGCGTTAAACCCTACTCCCTCATATATTCACCTACGATCTCTCTCTCTCTCTCTCCCTCTCTCTCTCCCCCTCTCTCTCTCTAACTCTCACCTACGATCTCTCTCTCTCACTCTCTCTGGAAGTGCGCCATCCAGCCTTGTCAGCAACGATACGACCCGACGATTACAGGTTTCTGGTGTACCAAAGGGACACAACTCTGCACACGACTGAGTCACCCATGCCCCTATGAGATGTAGATCAGTGTGGCTTTAACGATGGTGTTTAAATCAAAAGCTAAAGTGAAGTTCTTAAACAATGTTTGTGCGTCACGTGAGCGAACGGCAGTTAGTGTGTCAGAATGGAAGAGTTGATTAGATCTGTTTTCCTAAAATTTATGCATTTTGAAAATATGTTCCTACGACTATCTAAGATTTGTATCAAATTATGTATACGGCTTTTTCACATTGAGTAAACTTACTTTTTCAATTAACACAAGGCACTACTGATAAGAATTAAAGCGTGTTTCAAACGAAACAAGAATAAATATGTATTTTTCTCAAGCGTTAAAAAGTAACAAAGATCATTGAGTTGACGGTTATCAAAGGGTCGAGTCGATAACACATGACACAAAAATAAATTTGACCTAAAACGATCCAAAATAGGATTTCAACCTTTTAGATTAAGTAGAAATGTTATTCCACTTCATTCATTGGCGAATTTATATAAATACGCTTAATTCAAGCTATTTTTTACATTTACCCACAGTAAACATTTTATGGCCTGGGGGACCAGTTCATTCACAAGTCCTCTACCGCCATGTTATCACACACCGCCTGACCTGTCGTGTTGAAATCTGCATTTGGCGACACCCATGCACAGGTGGCGCAATTGGAAATATTTTCAAGTATTATCAAAATGTGTCTTAAATCTACAATTACGTCGTCTGAATGCAGACTAAGGTGAAGCAACGCAGAATATTAAGTACAGCTTTTTTGGACACAAACGATCGGCCAACAAACAACCCAGTGTTCTTCCAGATGTACAAATATTGATACGGAGATACATGCATAACTCTTGAGTGGTCGTGGATAGAATGTAGTACCGAAAATTAATTAAATATATTCCTCTGTATTTGAGATATCATGTGTATAGTGGTATGAACAAACAGGGTGGTACAGATTATTATTACAATATATTTATACGTAGTTTTCATGTATTTTATGTCTACAGATTTGTGAGATTTTCTGTTGGTCATATGACTTTTGTTCTGACAGCTGAGTACCAAGTAGAAAGATATATGTAAGGTTGTTCAACAGGATACGGGTAGCATAGTCAGGGTCATTGGAATTGCTACATTTTCCCAGTAGTTGTCTATGGAAAACGTTTTGTCGTTATCATTACGGAGGAGGAACGTACCACATGTAGGTTGATATTTGTATTTGGATTCAATTTTCCAAACGGTTTCAGTTACGAACAAAGGGACTAAGAGATGTACTTTGTTACAGATGGACATCCAAATGGAATAAAAAGAAAAAGAAAACAACAAAAACAAAGAAAACAAATGTCAACAAAAAACAAACAAAAACAAAAAGCAATAAAATAACAAACACAAATACAAGCAAAATAAGAGCTAACTAACTAGAATTAACTAATACTTATTTTTACACATTATTTCAGTGTTTTTACTTGGTAGTCACAAGGTAGTCCCGCTCGATTAATTATTATTTTTTTGGTCACTATTATTTATCGACACAAACGTATTATCGGTAACGCGGATGTCTCGAACATGGGAAAGGTGCCCCGGTATCCGTCGATGTTAACCCAGTACAGACAGGAGAGATGTATTTGTAGTGGCGGGCGTTGCAGTATTGGTAAGACATGCAGCAGCTTCATCGGTTCAACAGTAATATTCATCATAATTGGAGTATCATTGCTATCAAAAACATAGCCGGTGATGGCGGTATCACGGCAGCAGAATTAATTGTTATATGTAGCGGCAACATCATCATCAGCAGCAGCAGCAGCAGCATCAGCATCGTCGTCGTCGTCGTCGTCGTCGTCGTCGTCATCATCATCATCATCAGCAGCAGCAGCAGCACAGGAAGTAGTTATGAAGTGCTTCGTCATTATTCAGAATATGGACGTCCACTATGAAGACCAAGAACAGCGGAAATTAAGAACATGAAAGCATATGGTGAATAGATTTACTAATCTCCAGTCAAAAGTTTGGATGGTAGCTTCCGAGTATAATTTTGATTATCAACCGCGAGTTTTAAGAGTCCTCGACCCGAGCGACAGCTTCGCCATTGTGCGATCTGTTATGAAAAATAACACCAACGTTTGGCGCTCTCGACTCGCACAAAATGGAATCGCACTTAAAAAACCTAGCCAGAATGGGAGTAGGAAATTTGCTCGGAGCAAAACTGGACGACACAGGGACAGTGTTTATCTTAGGGCCATGTAGAATCTCCCAGGTGCGTGGAACGTGGAAGAAGACTAGTGGGAGAGGTCGGAGTCCCCCTAGCCTTTCAGTGCATCTGCGATGCCGACAGAGGACCCCCTCGTCCCTCCAATACCTTCAATGAGCGGTTCTTCTCAAACGTGTTGTTCCTGAATCTTTCCCATGGAAAGAGCAAATTTCTGATACACTTGCACTTGGTTTACCTTGGGAGAGGGAAGGTATGAATAGGTGCGAGCTGGATGTTTTGTGTTGCTGGTGAAGGGAATGCAATGTCGTGTAGCTTTGATAGTTGTTTCATATGAGAGGGGATGCTGGTTGTACGTAAGCAAGATGTCCTATTGTATGTGGTCAGCGTACGATTTTTTTTGAAGAAATAAAAAATGAGTTTGTAATGTAGGTATTTTGGGTTGACCATTTGAAACCACGTGTATGTGATTTTATTTAAGAAAATGCGCAAAAAAGATATTTGGGTGAGGGGACGTTGTTTATCCCTAAATTCTTAAAGAGAATAGGAAACTTCGTAGGAACATATTCTGAAAGCTCTTTTAAAAGTCTGACATATCTAACATATTTTTTATCATGTTAGTTCATCTCAATTTTCAAATTTATACAAAGCTACCACAATGAAACGAAATAAGTAAATAGAAATATGTAAAAAGAAATATGTGAAGAAAATACGGTGATTTGATTTTTTTCTTACCAAAACATACCGGGTCACAATCGGAGTACATAGAAAACGAAAAACCATCATGTGTGCCACCGTTCCTTGTCAGAAACAGACCATTGTGTGGTGGACCGAGACAGGGACACTCACTGACTGCATCTCCATGAAAAGTAAAAACAGACACAAAAACAAATCATTGTTCTGTAATAAATGGATATTTTACCGATGAGCTGTACCTTTCTTTCATCTTGTATTGCTCAAAGCCAGACAAAACAATCAATAGTACTGCTGAGTGCACATCTCTAGGCCTAGCTTAAACAAGCATCTTCACAATCGTATATATCGCTGAGATTTTAAGTCCATTGTTTGACTAAAAGCACCCATATTTGCATATATATTTTGCTTTGTTGAACATACAATCCACTAACGATTACCGAACTGCGTGAAGCACGGATCAAAGGGAGAATAGAAGTTTAATAGCTGTGTGAGTAATGGGTTCAAGACTCGGAAGACAACAAGACAAGAACGCTCCACTTAATAAACGTTTAGATTAGTGTGGTGTTTTAAGTACGGCGAACTTAGTAACAATTTCAAATAATGTTTAATTCATCAATAATTTTCATGTACATTGTATGGTTCACGGTAATTTATTTTATAAGAGTTTCCATTCAATATCAAACATGAATGTGAGTCTTCATTGAGCCATACTTACCAGAATGGACATGCATCTATAGCTAAATTATTGGGGGTAGCCAAGTGGCTAAAGAGTTTGCTGGTCACTCTGAAAGCCCTTCTGATGTCCACCGCCTTGATTGTGCTGTGATATTGCTAAAAGTGGAGTAAAACCTCACTCACTCACTCACTGCAAGAAGTGCATTATTGTGCCTAGTGGCAATCTATCTGGTGATCTTGCCACTATATCGCTGACACACCAATAAATTGCACAATACTTTGTTTCCAGTTGTTATTCTCTTGGGAAGACCAACAACGGTGCAGGCGAAGATACAATGTAACATCTTTTTTTGAAAATAAATTAAAGAGATATTACATCATTTTATCATACACATTATCAGTTACTTCAAATAGCAAGTCCTTATGGGTGCCTTCTTTGTCCGCGGAATCTGTGGATCTGCATACATTTAGGAATGAGGAAATCATGTACAAATCATGATGAAACCTGTGATTTATTTGATTTAAACATATTTATTTACAAGGAGTGAACGGGATTGGGGGACAAGTTCTTCCAATTTAGATTGCCCTCTATCCCTGGTATTTACAAAATTTCACAAGTTCAAATTTAATATATATGCATACAACACCATAGAAGAGACATAAAATGTTGAGAGAGAGAGAGAGGAGAGAGAGAGAGAGAGAGAGAGAGAGAGAGAGAGAGAGAGAGAGAGAGAGAGAGAGAGAGAGAGAGAGAGAGAGAGTTTGAAGGGGAGAGATGTATTGTTGAATGAACAGTTCTTTACACAAATCTTTTAGTTGTACATATGTAATGTTGTACTGCCTTTAATATAGCTTCATTTTCTGTCTGGTGTGTACGTATGAATGGGAGTAAGACTTTGTTCATTTCAACAGTTGCATGTTTTGGACTTATAAAACACTAAATGCATGATTAAAAATGTGCCCAAAAGGCCGGTTTTCAAGGTTTTCAGAAAGCATATTTTATAGTTAGTACTTTCTAAGGATATACAGATGACATTAGTGCATGTGACATTTGTTTTGTCAACGAACCTACAGTTTAAAAGAAATGTATACACAGAGTATTAACAAAAGGTCACACAAAACACACCTCCATGCATAAGTATAGATAAAATACACAAACATAATCTCTCAGCACAGCTGCCTAATGGGGAAGTCTCACACACCACATATCCATTGTGATATGTGTATATCTCTACATACCTGTACAATACAAAATACCGCACACACCACATACGCAAATCGCAGATGTGTGTATCTCTATATACCTGTACAATACAAAATACCACATACACCACATATTCAAGTTGCATATGTATATGTCTACATTCCTGTACAATACAAAATACCTCAAACACCACATACTAAAAACACAGATGTGTGTATTTCTATATACCTGTACAATACAAAATACCGCACACACCACATACTCAAGTTGCATATGGATATCTCTATATACCTGTACAATACAAAATACCGCACACACCACATATTCAAGTTGCATATGTGTTTCTCTATACCCTTACAATACAAAATACCTCACACACCACATACTCAAGTTGCATATGTATATCTCTATATACCTGTACAATACAACATACCACACACACACAACATATTCAAGTCTCATATGTATTTCTCTACATACCTGTACAATACAAAATACCTCACACACCACATATTCAACTCGCATATGTATATCTCTATATACCTGTACAATACAAAATACCTCACACACCACACACTCAAGTTGCATATGTATATCTCTATATACCTGTACAATACAAAATACCGCACACACCACATATTCAAGTCTCATATGTATATCTCTACATACCTGTACAATACAAAATACCTCACACACCACATATTCAAGTTGCATATGTGTATCTCTATATACCTGTACAATACAAAATACCTCACACACCACACACTCAAGTTGCATATGTGTATCTCTATATACCTGTACAATACAAAATACCTCACACACCACATATTCAACTCGCATATGTATATCTCTACATACCTGTACAATACAAAATACCTCACACACCACATATTCAAGTTGCATATGTATTTCTCTATATACCTGTACAATACAAAATACCTCACACACCACATATTCAACTCGCATATGTATATCTCTATATACCTGTACAATACAAAATACCTCACACACCACACACACAAGTTGCATATGTGTATCTCTATATACCTGTACAATACAAAATACCACACACACAACATATTCAAGTCTCACATGTATATCTCTACATACCTGTACAATACAAAATACCGCACACACAACATATTCAAGTCCAATATGTATATCTCTATATACCTGTACAATACAAAATAACTCACACACCACACACTCAAGTTGCATATGTATAGCTCTACATACCTGTACAATAAAAAATACCACACACACCACATACTCAAGTTGCATATGTGTATCTCCATTTACCTGTACAATACAAAATACCTCACACACAACATATTCAAGTCTCATATGTATATCTCTATATACCTGTACAATACAAAATACCTCACACACAACATATTCAAGTCTCATATGTATATCTCTATATACCTGTACAATACAAAATAACTCACACACCACACACTCAAGTTGCATATGTATAGCTCTACATACCTGTACAATACAAAATACCTCACACACCACATACTCAAGTTGCATATGTGTATCTCCATTTACCTGTACAATACAAAATACCTCACACACCACATATTCAACTCGCATATGTATATCTCTATATACCTGTACAATACAAAATACCTCACACACCACACACTCAAGTTGCATATGTATATCTCTACATACCTGTACAATACAAAATACCACACACACCACATATTCAAGTTGCATATGTATTTCTCTATATACGTGTACAATACAAAATACCTCACTTACTCAAGTTGCATATGTATATCTCTACATACCTGTACAATACAAAATACGTCACACACCACATATTCAAGTTGCATATGTATTTCTCTATATACGTGTACAATACAAAATACCTCACTTACTCAAGTTGCATATGTATTTCTCTACATACGTGTACAATACAAAATACCTCACACACCACATATTCTAGTTGCATATGTATATCTATATATACCCGTACAATACAAAAATACCACACACACCACACATTCAAGTTGCATATGTATGTGTCTACATTCCTATATAATACAAAATACCTCACACACAACATATTTAAGTTGCATATGTATGTCTCTATATACCTTTTCAATACAAAATACCTCACACACCACATACTCAAGTTGCATATGTGTATCTTTATATACCTGTACAATACAAAATACCGCACACACACAACATATTCAAGTCGCATATGCATATCTCTATATACCTGTACAATACAAAGACCTCACACACCACATATTCAAGTCGCATATGTGTATCTCTACATACCTGTACAATACAAAATACCACACACACAACATATTCAAGTCTCATATGTATATCTCTATATACCTGTACAATACAAAATACCGCACACACCACATATTCAAGTCTTATATGCATATCTCTATATACCTGTACAATACAAAATAACTCACACACCACACACTCAAGTTGCATATGTATATCTCTATATACCTGTACAATACAAAATACCGCACACACCACATATTCAAGTCTCATATGCACATCTCTATATACCTGTACAATATAAAATACCTCACACACCACACACTCAAGTTGCATATGTGTATCTCTACATACCTGTACAATACAAAATACCACACACACCACATATTCAAGTTGCATATGTATATCTCTATATACCTGTACAATACAAAATACCACACACACCACACACTCAAGTTGCATATGTGTATCTCTATATACCTGTACAATACAAAATACCTCACACACTACATATTCAAGTCTCATATGGATATCTCTATATACCTGTACAATACAAAATACCACACACACCACATATTCAAGTCTCATATGCATATCTCTATATACCTGTACAATACAAAATACCGCACACACTACATATTCAAGTCTCATATGCATATCTCTATATACCTGTACAATACAAAATACCTCACACACTACATATTCAAGTCTCATATGGATATCTCTATATACCTGTACAATACAAAATACCACACACACCACATATTCAAGTCTCATATGCATATCTCTATATACCTGTACAATACAAAATACCTCACACACTACATATTCAAGTCTCATATGGATATCTCTATATACCTGTACAATACAAAATACCACACACACTACATATTAAAGTCCCATATGCATATCTCTATATACATGCAAGATATATTCAAATACAATAAAAGCCAATGTAACAAAGCATTCGCTTGCCTAAGATGTTCAACTTGACTTAATGACTTCACCTTCACCATGGATA